TACAATTTCCTAATTTTAAAGAAAGACTTTAGTTTTGTCTGTTCTCTGTTCCTCTAGTCCGAACTTTGGGAAGTGTTTGAAGCGGGATAACATTCGAATGGTTGGAAATACGGGCTTCAAATTTTCCTCCATTCTAATACGCGCAACGACCCGCGTAATATGAATGAGTTAGTAAGTGTAAAGTTTGAAGTCAAAATTGCGGGTGCGTCAAAAATATACAGGGTGGCGCGGTTATCAACAAAAAACTGAAAACCAACGTATACCAAATTTTGTATTTTCTTTTTAATACATAGTATCACGTGGTCAATCATTCAGTCATCTTTGAAAATGACTGGTTTCGTTCGCCGCCACTGCACGTAGCGGTTAATAACGGGCATTCCCGCTAAGGGTCATCTGGTCAAAGTTTAATTAGTGGAATGATCGACATACCGACGGGCCCCATCGAAGAGTCCATCTATTCCGTTACAGCCTCCTCGCTCGTCTCCAAAATTCGTTATTGTCGTAAAACAGATTGCATCCGGCGGAGCTTTTGTTTTTAAAAGGCCAAGTCCTATTCCGATAATACCGTTCCGTCTCTGAACGGATGAGCCGGATAAAAGATAACGTAATATGCCGGTACGGCGGAATCGGATCAATTTTCTATTAGCTCCAGGTCGAAAAGGAATTGATATTTTTGGGTCGGACCCGGCCCTTTTATTTATTGCAAATGGCGAGCGTTATTGTAAAACGCGTAGTTTTACTTAGTCTTGTCCTCTCTCCAAACATTACGAAATACATTTGATTGCGTTTGTCACAGTGATCCTTCCCTACATTCAAAACATCACTAATCCACATATCCAAAGTTCTTGAGAAATATGATTTTACTTTTCCACAAATCTGCCAACATATATGATCTATCAAAGACAAAAATGTCCCATGTTCGTGCAGCAAACAATACATCGAAGAAGCAGGACGAATACATCAACCACACCAAAGGAGTATGAGAGGGTATTAGTACTTCGACATATATGATTCGCAGCAGTTGCCGAACATAATCGTGGAACCAGATAATTATTCCACCCAAGAAAAACTTGTCAATATCGATCAACGAACTCAGAATTACCACACCAAACATTACATAATACATTTTATTACATTTGTCAGAGTGGTCCTTCCCTACATTTAAAACATCGCTTATCAAATATCCAAAGTTCTTGAGAATTGTCAATTGTCAACATGTTCGATCTGTCAAAGACAAAATTCCTGCATGTCCCCCGCACATACGGCAAAGAATACATTGAAGAAGCAGAACGAAACACATCAACCACGGTAAAGCATGAGAGGGCCTTAAGACGACGACACAAATTTAAGCAGGTACAGACTAGAAATTGAGTCAGGATAAAGATATTGACGATTTTCACTGGGTTGTGGTGTAGCCCATACACTCATATAAAAAAATTGTATCGTATTACATCGATACGACGACTTTTAATTAAACTCCTGGACAAACCTGCCCCCCCCCCTAAACATACACATTCCCACGTGTTGTAAAGCAATTAAAACTGACGAAGTCGCGGAAAATCGGGTGCCGGTATATGTCGGATTAGGGACGCCGGAGTACCTGTCCACCCTAAAACGGTAACGTATTATGTTTAATTTCGCCTTTGGTAATTGAAAAGGCTCCTCGGGAGTTTTTCACGCCCACCCCCGTTCCGCCGGTCCGGATTGTTTTGTCTTTGCGAGCGCCGGAGCCTTTATTCGATTACCCCCGGGGGTCCGGAACCCGCGTAATTAAGGGATGAAACGCGTAAATTGGTAATACACGTCGGCGCTGTTGCGCCTCCCGGTCGTATGAAAATAAATTTCCGGGGATGTCCGCGTTGTGACGGAAGGGTTCGGCTCGAAAATTGGTTATACAGGGCGTAAGTAATTAACGAAGCGTATACATTTTTCGCGGCGAGACCTAAACGATTGACAGATTTATCGAAGATTTACAATCATTTGTCAAATATTAATCTCTTCTGGTTTCATATTAATGATTTATGGCGTTTCATTAAAGATTTACCACGATTTATCGTTTATTTATACTAGTCTATACTAGTGCTAGATTTATGGGGTTTTAATGAAGATTTACAGCGATTTATCAATAATTTACAATTATTTATAAAATATTTACAGCGATTTATCGAATATTCACACTACATTATTAAAGTTCTACCGCATGTTACTTTTTTTTTAAACCCAATTATTAATAGATGCGGGGCTAGACAGTTGAGACGAATGAATTTCTGCAACACGGTTTTATTCGAAAACTAAGTATTAGATTTACAGCTATTTATCAAATGTTCAATGATTAATTTATAAAGTTTTTGGTTATGGTGTTTTATGAATGATTTACTATTATTTATAGAATATTTGCAGCAATTTATAGAATATTTACACTAGTTTATCAAAGCTTTACAGCAAATTAATTTTTTTTGGGAAAACCCAATTACTAATCGATGCGGGGGTAGATCGTTGAGACGAACGTATTTCCACAAACGGTGACTTGTCGATGATTTACAACTATTTAGTGGTATATAGTTGAGAGTGGTCCTTATCCGGACAAAAATGAATTTCCACAAAACGTAAATATGTGGCGATTTACCTGATTTGTCGAAGATTTACAGCGATTTATCAATTATGTACAGTGTTGTTGAATGATTTATGTTAATCTATTAGTGATTTGTAGTTGTTTATTGAAGATTTACGTTGAGCGATGATGATTTATTGATTATTTACACCGACTCAAAAAAGGTTTACCGAAATTTTGGGTGTGAATAAGTTTTTACCAATTCGAAAAGTAAATATGTGGCGATTTACGGTGATTTTTCGAACATTTACAGCGATTTATCGAACATTTACAGCGATTTATCAGTAATTTATAGTGTTTTACCATGATTTATCAGTGATTTATAGCGTTTATTAAATATTCATGACGATTGACAAATGATTTCGAATGACTTTTTGTTTATCTACTACGATTTATATATTATTTATAGCGATTTGTCACAAATTTAAAATGGTTGTAAGTAATGTAGATTTCAAAACAACAAAAAACCGGTTTGGTTTAGTAAATATGTAGCGATTCACAGTAATTTTCTGCAAAGTTTCAGCAAGTGGTTTGATTTTACGACGGTGTTGTACGTGGTGAGTAATGATTTTAAATCCGCAGGCTGGCACCTAATAAACTGAAGTTTGCTTTGTCCTCAGCCGCCATTTTTATCAAATAATTAATAAACGGGAAAAATCCGCACGTCCCTAGTCCAGAATCGCCGTTCGACGTTTATGAAACTTCGAAGGTGTCGTAAACGTTCGGAGGACGGTAGCATTAAGACGCCATCTGGCCTTACGTCCCAAAAAATTTATGGACTGTGGCCTGGGGAGCTCTCGAAAGATTCGTTTTGGGACCCCCTTTAATGGGGGATTTACCTTCCACGAGACAAAGGGCGCGACTATCACGGACTCGAACAATTTTCTTCCTACGCCGCAATATTTTTCAAGTAATTTTTTTAAATCACGCTCGTTAATCGTATTATCTTATCCATTAAAAAATAAACTTTACTTTTTTTACACATTTTTAATGTTATAGTAATAAATACAATATTAAAATGAAATTTTTGTTACTTACCAATTGGGAAAATGCAAACATGACCTACAAATTTGTTTTTTTTCCTCTTGCTTGCATATTTGCGATATTGTTGCTACAAATTCATTTGGACAAAGAAAACAAGTAGTTGTAAATACGAGATTATGAAAACTTTTTGTGTGGCCCTTCTTCTTTCTTCTTCTAATTCTTCTTTCTTGTGTTCTTCGTCCAATGTATTTCCAAATAATAACATCTACGTTTTGCTGGCATTCAATAAGAGGTTTTGGGCCGCAAACACCTTCTAAATTATTTTTAGATGCAGCAGCATTTAAAACTTCACTTGCAACAAAAGACACATATAACTGAGTATCATAGGCACATTGATGATACTTACAAAATTTAAGAAAAGTAGAGAAGTCATCTGTATAAACTGAGAACAGAATAGGTCCCAGAATACTCCCCTGGGGAACACCCCTTTCCAAAGCAATAGCATCTAAATGAGTATATCCTACAAGTACTCTTTGGTATCTCTGAGGAAGATTTTTTTTTAAAAATGAAAGGGCGGTGTCGAACGCTTTGCTGTAGTCCAAGAGTATGAGACAAGAGTTTAATTTAGAATCCGCTGCCCTCAACAAATCGTCAGTAACATGAAGCAAGGCAGAAGTAGTGCTGTGAAGAGGTCGAAAAGCCTGGGAGGATTTTGTTATCGCAGCTGTATACCTGCAATTTTTTCAATAACCTTTGAGTTGGTTGGCAAGAAACTGATTTGTCTAAAATCGTTAATGGTACTTGGACGCTCTTTCTTTGGAACGGGTATAACTTCAGCTGGCTTCCAAGAGTCCGGAAAAAACCCAGAGATCCGGTACTTGTTAACAAGGAAAGTGATATGATCGACTAAATACGGTGTAGTGAAAAGAATCATTTTTATATCAATATTTTCTGAGCAAGGAGCGTCAGTTTTAATACTAACGAATGTTTTATGAACTTTCTCAGGGTATACTTCGTGCAATACAGTACAGTACAAGGTGTTGGACACCATAAGAGTGGCGCTGAAGATGGCAGACTTTCCTTGAGCCTTTCTAGACTACTTTTTTTGTTATTGTATATTTAATATTGCTAGCGTTTTGGCATTTAAAACTGCCATTTTTTTTTCGCCACCCACGTGACTCTGTGCGGCTTTACTTTTCTGACTGCATTCGCTCTATTTCCCGTCAATTTGCTCCCAATCGGGCCGCCGTTATAACAGAAGCGAAATCTAGTTAGAGGCGAATCGGTTGTGTTTGCTCGTCAGTTTACCAAATCGAGTTTTGTATGCATCGTCGCTCGTCAGGGGAAAACCTTTACCGAATATGATTTAGAGCTGTCGATTTACGTGACGTATGATTCTTTGTAGATGAACGGGACTACAGCATCACGATGTAACGGGACATAAATTGCAGCGGTAAAGAGGAACTGACCTATCCGCCATGTTGCCCACGAACGTTATGTCGTTCATGAAAAAGGTAAGAATATAAAAACAACATGAATAGATGTGACTTATCAAAGAGTTACCTCGAAATTACTGAGAGTGAGACGAATAAAGTTCCATGAAAAGGTTTCGTTAGAAAATTAAATACGTAGCGATTTACTAAGATTTGTCGAATTATCAATCCGTCTATTATTTATTTATTATTATTTATTTATGATGTTTTAGAACGAGACGAATAAAGTTCCATAAAAAGCCATTTACCATAATTTATCGAAGAATTACAGCGTGTTTTATAATGATTTATGTTCATCTAACAAGGATTTATAGTAGTTTATTGGAGATTTATCTCGAGTAATAAATAATTTATTGAATTTCTACATTGGTTCATCGATTATCTATAGAAATTTGTTTAGGATTTACGGCAATTTACTGATGTAGAAAAAAGGTCCATTAAAACATTTCATTCGAACAAAGAAATGTTGCGATTTACCATAATTTATCGAAGTTGTACAGTGTGTTTTATGATGATTTATGTTTATCCAACATGCATGGTGATTTATGTCGAGTGATAAATGATTCATTGATCCGTCAATTATTTATAGAGATTTATTTAGGATTTACGACACTTTACTTATGTATAAAAACGTTCCATTAAAACATTTCATTAGAAAAGAAAATTTGTAGCGACCTGCGATGATTTATTGAAGATTTATTGCGTTTTTTTTTAGTGTTTCGGGATAATTTATGTTTATCTAACAAGGATTTATAGTTGGTCTGTTGAAGATTTGTGTCATCTGAAAACCAAAGGTTTACCGCAAATTGCTGATGTAGAAAAAGTAATTATTTATGAACGTGACTTAAACATTTGAGAAATTTTTTGGCAAACTACTGACCAATGGTTTCATGTGAAATTAGTGCATCATGTTGTAAATGATGAATATGGCATAGATTCGAAGAGAAAAAAGTAAAAGTGATTTTTGGCGATTTCCAAGGAAGGAACGAAATAATCCAAATAATAAAAGCGAAAAATCCCGAGTGTTGCTTGTAATAGTACGTCAATACTGAATTCACTTGAGGAAAAACAAATGACAGTGACGATTAAAAAATTAATGAATTAATAAAGGCTAACTTCCGTATGAAAATCTTATATAGCGTTTGTTCTTCTTTTTCTTCAATTAGAATCATTTTTAAGGGCAGACCCAGTAGCATTTGCTCGGGTCGTTGAGGTTGTGGTATATAGATCTATGCATTTAATCTGGCGCCATTGTACCGTTCAGATACCTTATTAAATTTGATTACCGGAAAGCAATCAATTAGCAAGCATTGCTAATTGTTGCGCGTTTAATTGCGGTACCAGACGATGGCGGGGGAGGACGGTGGAAAATTAGGGGTGGGTGTTGTTCAGCAACGTCGAGTTACAAATATTGTTTAGAAGTGTAGCAGTTATCACACAACGTCCTTACTTTTATACTTTACTAAGGCAGGTATAATTCTCATCATCATTTTTTACAATATTTTATTGACAGACATGCATAGAATTTATTAACATATTAAAAATAAATTGATTTTTTCTTAAATTGTGTTTATTGAAAGTAAAAAAATGGAGCAATGTTTAATGGTTAATGTTAGTTTTTTTTAATTACCTTATTCACACACAAAAATAGGTCAGAGGTCAATACAATGTGCAAAGCTTTCATTCGAAAATTTGAAACAAGCAGAAATGTTTTTATTTGTTGTCCACCTGAAGACTTGTGATGATACCTGATGAGTTGAAACATTAGTGATGCTAATACTAAAGATACTGGAAGAAGGACATGGGGAGTTTGGATAGTACTCTTCACCCCTAGTGATGTGAACCTGCTAAGAAGAAGTAATGATCCTAGTACACTCCCTTGAGGTTCTGGTGAATGCACAACAGTACTAGCAATTTGGAAATATCATGACTGCGTGCTTAGTTTAATCTTTAATTGGTCTCACCACTGGAGAGGATTAAAGTGGTTCTATATCGACTAGACTCGATGTTATTTCTTAAATAATCGCTCAAAGTATGCCGGAAAAGTGCGCTGACAGGTGTGGTTTCCTCGCTTTGAAATCTGTCATCGAACGAGAGCAACCACAACGACCAAAAACGGGCCTGTGCGCGATCACCAGAATCGATGCGGATCCGACAACACACAAAATGGCGTCGCGACCGCACGCCACCAACAACCGAAACCCGGCTTACTATTTAATGTTTACCACGCATAAGACGTAAAGGTCATTGTTACGCATGTTGTGTATGGATCGTATATTTTAATAAATACGGTGTAACAATTATGATTAAAATTTAAAAAAAAGTGAACAAAATATTTACTTTATTTGAATATTATTTATGTATGTACAATCAAAATACAAAAATAGAATTTAATATATTGCCTGGTTTTTCCACAGTAACAGAAAACAACGTTATCCTAGATATTAAAAAAATATCTCTAGCAGCTTAACTGAATATAGGGCTTGTAGAATGGTTGGTGGTGGTGACAGATCAACTTCTTCATCTCCTTCTTCCTCTTGGTGAATGGTGCTCTGCCTCACCATTTCTTGTTTGTTGTAATATGGTTTCCTCTGTCAAGTCTGCTGTTGTAGGCAAATCCTGATCTATCACCATAAAATCTTACAACTCTTCACTTGTAAACGTAATTGTTGTTTGAAACTCCTCATCTTGCAAGTTCCGTTCGCATTCTGTCTCGGTAATAAGTCCTGCATGACGATAGGAGTGTTGAATTGTTTCTGCTGTCACCTCTTTCCAAGCTTTGCTAATGCATCTAAAATATTAATGGAAAAATTTTCTTCGGACTCGATCATTTACATTAAAATGTTTTCCTGTATCGACTCTTAAGAGTTTTTATTACGCTCGTGTCCATCGTCTGTACTACACTTGTTGTTTTGGCTGAAAGAAGTGCCAATTCAATACTCCGTAGATTTGGAATATGGGGATGTGGAGGGCAGTTATCTTAGAGAAGTAATATTTTCCTCGCCTTTAATTCTGCATCCCATCTCCGTATCTCCTCTTCAAAAATTTGCGATGTCATCCATGCAGACTTGTTTGCCTTGTAAGTGACCGGTAAATGGTTGATGTTCTTAAAACATCGTGGGTTAGTTGATTTTCCAATCACGACTAGCATTCTTTTTTCTCTCCCACTCATATTGGCAGCTACTAACACTGTTATACGTTTTTTTGAAAGTTTCCACTCACACACTTTTCGCTTCGAAATTTAAGAGTTTTATCTGGCGTCATTTTGTAAAAAATACCAATTTCGTCAGCAATAAAAATGCCGCCAGCAGGGTACTTTTCTGCTAGTTTTGGCCATGTTTCTGTCGACATCATGGGCTTAATTTATGCCATGTCTCTGTTTGAACTTCCCCAGCCATCCTTCCGAAGCCTTGAAATCGATAATGTTTTACGATAGGTCCAGAGAGTGGTATATTTTTAAGACGTTCTACCTCCCGAATTAAAGCAACTTTATCATCTAAAGATAATTTTTTTCCCTTACTCATCATACTCGCCGTATTATTATTGGTATTGGTATTAAAGGGGGGCGCCCTCGCGGGCGTCCAAGCACTTAGGCCACCAGATGGGCCCGTTGTGTCCCCAGGTCGCTCTAGAGGGCGTCCAGAATGCCGCCCCTCCTGTAGAAGGTCAGCAACTCCTTTAGCCCAATACCGTGCACTGAGTCCGGATCGATCAGGGCCGTTCCGAAGACTCCCAATCTTGCCCATGTCAAGGCAGGGCACTCGGTGAGCAGATGATACGGGGTCTCCTCCCCTTCCATGCACCACCTACACTCCGGGTCGTCTCCAATGCCTAGCAAGCAGAGATGTCTCCTAAGCCTGCAATGTCCTGTGTAGGCCCCTGTTAGTGCTCTACACTCCCTCCTGGTCAGTCTAAGCAGCTCCCTGGTCCGAGGAAGGGCGGGCCCATCCATCATAAGCCTCGCCTGCCTCATTCCCGGAGCAACTCTCCAGCCCCCCGCGGCCCGGTCTCTCGCCCAGGCTTCGAGAGCTCCCCGCCTCACACACGGGGCGATCCCCAAGCGGGGCTCTGGCCCTATATGCCTATGCGAGGAGCCCTCCCTGGCTAAGGCGTCCGCTGCCTCATTGCCCCGGACACCAATGTGACCCGGGACCCAGACCAACGTGACCTTTCTCTCCTCAGCCACCCTCCTCAGTGCCCCTTTGCACTCCTTTATCAACAAGGAGCGCGTACGCACTGACTTCAGCGCCATGAGTGCAGCCCTACTATCCGAGCAGAAGAAGACTCTCCTGCTTCCGTAGTTGAGCCGAAGCACCTCTCTGGCCGCCATCAATAAAGCGAAAATTTCCGCCTGAAACACAGTGCAGTACTGACCCAGAGGGACCGACAAGCTTGATCCCGTTGTCTCGCAGTACGCTCCAGCTCCGGCCAGATCTCCCATTCTGGACCCGTCAGTGTACCAGACAAGTCCATCCCAGGAGCCGACTCTGCCCTCTCTCCAATCTTCCCTTGATGGAAAGAGAAAGGTCAATTTATCAAAGAAGGTCATCTCGGGGATCATGACGTCACTCGGCATGCCCATGACTCCGCGATCCCCGCGACAGCCCTCTAAAATGTCGTACGGACCCCGATTGAAGGTTCCCTCCCTCCAGAGCCCGCAGCTCACCAGCCTCACAGCTGTCCTGGCCGCCTCCATCTGCACCCGATCCGCCAGAGAGGGCAGCCCCACCAGAGCCTCCAGGGCCCTCGTGGGCGCCGTTCTCATGGCGCCCGTTATGCAGAGGCAAGCCAATCTCTGCAGTCTGTCAAGAACTAGCCTTGCTCCCGCTCTTTTGGTCCCCGGCCACCATGCCACTGCCCCATGCGTGAGAATAGCCATACTCGCCGTATTCACTAAGTCAAATTAGAACTGATTGAAACAATGGTGTGCTTATATATATATATATATATATATATATATATATATATATATATATATATATATATATATATATATATATATATATATATATATATATATA